ATATCATTTTCCACATATTTGGATATAAGACAGGCATTTTTTTTACTTTGCCATAGGTTTTCATATCCACCACTATTGAATGTATGTTTACTTTCTTCATCTTATCTAATTTCTAACAGTTCTTCTTGGCAAGTTGTATCAGCCTCTTCAATATTTGCGGTAAAAGGATTTTTCATCCAGTCATACATCTTCAATTTCAAAATATCTTCAAATCGTTTTTCCATGCACAATTTAAGTTCGTTGAGGTGGCTACTGAATCTGTCAATATCCTCTGGAGTTACATCATCTTTTATAGATGATAATTCAGGAAACTGATGAAATTCTCTCTTCAATAGATTATAACGAAGTAGTTCAAGTTTGTCAATAAATAATGACACAATACTTTGGCAACCTATAAGAATTTTATTAGCTCCTTGAAGCTGCAAATTGACATCATGAAATCTCTTGAAAATATTTGCCAAATAAAAGGCATCATTCTTTACTGTTTTTAACTGTTGACACAGATTGGTCTCATTATTACTTTCAAAAAATTGTATGACACTATCATATAATGCTACAAAATAAGCCAAAGATGTACTCTTTGACAGGCACCAAACTTCTGTGTGCAAAAGTAACATAATAAAATCTTCATTATTGTCCTGGCAAAGCTGTCGAAACATTCTATCATTTTTTGGTTTGGATTTGATCTTGTTTATGGCTCGAATTATTATAGTTAATGATGAATGGAGAGTTGTACTTAGATGTTTTCCTACAATATGTTGTCTGTGCACCACACAATGAATACATAAAACTTTTGGCACTTCTTCCTTCAAATAAGCAACAAATCCACGATAGCAACCTACCATTCATGATGCTCCATCAGTAGTGCATGCAACAATATTATTCAAAGGAATATTATTTTTTGTAAAGTATGATTTCACAGTATTAAATATAGATAATCCTCTTGTATCTGTAATGAGATTTATTGCGAATAGCATTTCTTCTCGTAATGTATTGTTTTCATCAAAATAACATACATATGCCATCAAAAAAGCATTATTATCTGCAGTGGTAGACTTGTCCAATTGCATGGAAAATGAAGAGTTTTGGAGAATACTTATCAGTTTTTTTTCAACATGAAACTACCATTTCATCAATTCGTCGCTTTACTGTGCTATCGCTTAGGGGCAACGTTTTTAAATTTTCAGGTATATCCTGATGCATTACTGTTGAAATAAATTCTTTTATAGAGGGTATTATTACAGTTTCTCCAATATTATAGCTTTTACCACTTTTTGCAATTAATTGTGAAATGCGATAAGCGGCAATTAATCCATCTTCGTTCACTGCATGTTGTTTCTTAAATGATGCAATGATTGTTGAACGATTTTGAAATTTTTTATATATTTCCTGAAAATATTCAATGGGCTTGTCCTTATCATTTGGATGCTTTGTAGAAAGATGTTCTCGCAATCGACTTGGCTTCATTGCCTCATTGAATAATGTTTTATGACACAATAAACACATTGGATGTTGTTTATTTACAACAGATTCTATGAAACCCATCTTCAGATACTCTGGCAAATAGCCATGAGCGTATTTCTTTTTTTGAGACATGGGCTCACAATATTTTGTTTGAAGCTGTAGGCACGTGCTCACTCTCACAAATCTAACTGGGCAAGCAGGAATGAATAGAAGGCCTTTATGGCCTCTACCTTGGTCATGAGGGAATGCCCAGTGGCGTCTGGTTTGGCCCCTATCTGTGCCTGTCACAGCAGGATGAAGAGAGAGCCTCGTTCTTGTCAGAGATGCCTGAAACTTCTATGACTGAGGGCTCTGTGCAGCTCTCAAAATTAGCGGCCTTGAGGGGCCCTGAGGGGAAGCTTGTTGTTTGTTGTGTCTTTAATTTCCACCCTCCAGAACCGAAAACGAGGCACTTGCGGTTTTATCTCGTTGCGCAGCCTCTGCTGCGATCCGGATCATCGAGGAAGTCGATGGGAGCCTCGCGACGACGGCGCGCTTCGGCAAGGCTGTCCGGCTTCCAAGAGCTCCACGGGGGGTCTCCCAGCTGAGGTTAACACCCTGTGCCTGCTGGAAAGCTCTGTGAGCTGATCGGAGGGCTTGATGGATCCGAAACTTTAAACGGCTCGGATGGAACCCCTACCGCCCACCATGAAAGCTGGAACGCCCACTAGTGGGCGGTAGGGACCAGGTTGACTACCTCTGAGTCCTAAATTAATAATCTGCTTTTGGGTGCAGTGAAGGACAAGTCCCCTCACTGAAAGAAGACTCAGTTAGCAACAGCAATATATACTAACAACAGCAATTTCTGTTATAGTCCCTGCCTTATGAAATATTTTCACCTCAGAGATTAGAATGGCCTTTGGCTTTTTGCAAAGTTTTAAAAACTTGGCTATGTACTCAGGCCTGGGGTTCGGAATGTGCTAAGGACCTCATTATTTGGCTTTACTATTAGTTGATTACCCATTACAGCTGCTGTTTATTTTGTGGATGTTTTTATTATTTAGTATTTGTTTAAACTGTTTTAGAATTTTAGAATTGTAAGCCACCCAGAGTTACCTGGTTAAGTTGAGTAGTTATAGAAATTATATAAATAAAACATACAAAGCCAGTCTTACCATACTATGAGATTCATGGCAAGAAAAGATTCAAACCTAGTATGCATGTATGTATGCATGTATGCAGTGCTTTTTTGTAAAAAAAAAACACAAGGTGCTGGAACTCACACACTTCATACAACTTGCCTTGCCTACCCTACAAAATTTACCTTTGTAGTTGGAAAAAAAAATCTTCAATTTTTATTGTATCTAAAAGACTAGGACAGTGATGGCGAACCTTTTAGAGACCGAGTGCTCAAAAACTGGCCCTGCCCCCGCTCCACTCCTGCCCCGCCCCGGATCTGCCCCTACCCTATCCCCCACTCCACCTGCCTGCAGGGCCACTCACTGCCTCCAGGACCCACCGCAGATTGCCCAGGGAGCCCAGCAGCACCATGACAGCCACGCCCTCTGCCCACAGTCCACAGCATCAACTGTGTGGGATGGGGCATGAGGGCAGAGTCCTTGGCTGCGCTTCTCTGTGTGGGCCATGCTCGGGGGCGACTCTCCTACAGGAGGGCTGCTGGTGAGGAGGGGGTTGTGGGGGGAGGCAAGGCTGGGGCAATGGCACGTGTACTCATAGAGAGGGCTGCGACTGCCACCTCTGGCACGCGTGCCATAGGTTTGCCACCACTGGACTAGGATTTTGTTGAAGGTAAGTTAATACTATTAATGTTACCATGCACTGTGTGGCTTTAAATTACAAGGAGGCATTTTATTAATCTTTTGGGACATTTACCACTGGCATACCCATTTAGTTTAATGAGTGGAAATGTCAGCTTTCTGTGTGGAATGAAATTGGCCCAATAAAACAAAATTTGGTTGCTTGTAAAAGATTGAATTATTTTTAAGAAGTTGTCAAACAAGGTGGAAAATTTTATATTGGAGTTTTATATGGATATTGATTTGAAACAAATTAAAGTTGAACAGATTACTTTTAATTTACCTTTAAGTTAAACCCAATTTAATAAATAGATCTGATTAAACCTCATACTCTAGGTCTACCTTTACATCTGACCAATACTACATAATTAATATATAGTATTATTAATAACAATACCTCCAAATCACAAGACATTGGCTTTATCCTTATTCTTCCTCTCTGCAGTTTGAATATAAAGTATAAAAGACTAAAAAGAGATTTTCGTAGAGATCCCAGCCTTTGAACTACCCAAGGAACTGAAACAGCAAAGTTTCGCTGTTGGGCAAGTTTCCACACCAGCCGCCTTTCTTTCCTCTCGCTTCACCTCTTTTTAACCTCATACCCCACCTTCTGTAAGGGAAGGCAAAAGGCTCGCTCACCCTCTCGTGAAAGTTGGCCTCCATGTTTATGTGTCTCCCACTGCCACCATCAGCTTCCACACCACATGGTCCGACACAGCCAATCAAGCCATGCTCTGGCTGTGGTGCTTCGGCGGTGGTGCCTCCTCTTAGAGGAGGCAGAGAGTGCTGGAGGGGACCCCGCTTGCACTGTACCACCAGCGGGGCATTTTCAAAAACAAACGAGGATAGGAAGGGAAACAATAGGAAAAGAATGCAACTCTGGAAAATCCATCGAAAAAAGGTGCCAGAACTCTGTTCTATGACAAAAAAAGCCCTGCATGTATGTATGTATTTATTTTTTGTTTTTATTATTTTTACAAATAACTCAAGGTGGTGAACATAGCCACAGACCTTTCTCCTCCTATTTTCCTCACAACAACAACCCCATGAGGTGGGTTGGGCTAGGAGAGAGTGATTGGCCAAGAGTCACCCAGCTGGCTTCAATGGCTAAGGTAGGACATGAATTCACAGTCTCCTACTTTCTAGCGTGGTGCCTTACTCACTAGGCAAACTGGCTCTCCTATGCTGATGCTTTGAATTGATCTTACCTACTGTCCACTGGATGAGGGTTTCAGTAGCTCATGTAACTTTTTTCATTTTTTGTAAGCACCATTGCATGATTGTGGCTGAGTTCACATAATACACTTTGTCATGGCTAACTGATCGATAACCCATTCGGTTAATTGAATTTTCAAGGTCCTCACAACCCAACAAATGCATGGGTTGGTTTGCGTAAGATGCATGGGTTGGTTTGCGTAAGATGTTAATATATGAGCAACTGGTCTGTGGGTTTAGTGGGTTGTGAAGACACAGCTTCCATCTGGAATCACAAGGTGAAGATTCAGTTTACTCAAATTAGTTCCTCTCTCAATGTTATTCTTTTTTCAACCAAATCTGTAGATGCTCAGCATGTAAAGATGGGCTCTTCTGCTTCTCTCCACAGTTTCATGATCTCAACTTAGCCTTGCCTCTTTCTATTGCCCATGGGTACGTTGTCTTCTCAGCCATTTGAGAGAAGCGGGACTGCTTTTCTCACTGGCGTGGCATGTGACCATGTTGGATGGAGGGGAACCTTGGAAATTCTGTGGCCAGTACACAGACAGCTTTTTACAGGAAATGACTGAGTAGAGCTTAGTTCCTCCTGTTGGAGGCATGAGCAAAGCTGAAGCTCCTTGTAGAGCAACAGACAAGTGTCAAACCAAGGTATGGCTTTGTGCAACTAATTGAAAGTATTGACCAGGAAGATGGCTGAAGGAGTGATCCCAGATCTGCCACCTCAATCCCCTGCATCAATCAAGGTTTATGGAACCGTGGAATCAACAGAGCAATCTCAAGGATCATCACAGCCACCTACCAGAAGGGCTTACATCGCAATTGTTACACTTTGCCATCTGAACCTGGTGAATTATATGGACTGGTTTCTCGTAGCAGGTAGGCTGGATTCTACTGACAATTATTTTGTGACAATAGCACCCAGAATGGGCTGAAACCTTTCTTGCAGTTTGGCAATAATAATATTAATAATTTTTCTGTTCAAAAATGACTTCTGTTTTTCTGACTGTACTCTCCAGATCCCTGAGAATTTCTCAGTGATGTTTTTGAGCTGGTGCCATTCTTGAGGTAACAAACTCTTTCATCTCTCTCCAGCCTCTCTGTTTATTCATTCTTCCTAATATGAAATCCCCCTATGGCAACTATTCTTTCTTGAGGTGCTGCCTTGGAATGAACCAGATGTACAGGGAGGCTAAAGATTATTGGAGAATTATTGTACAATGAAGATTGGACCATTCAGACACCTCTCTCTATCATTTCATAACTAAATAAAAACAAGAATTCATTCCACCATCGTCAGAATGTCATTAAAACATTCTCTTCTCTTAAAGGAGAAATTGAAAGTAATTTCTCTCTTATTAAGTTGAATAAGAACTAGAAGGGGGGAAAGGGGTGAGGACTGGGGAGTATGCTCAGTGAAGCATAGCACTGTCTACATTATCTTGTTGTAATAAGAAAAAGATAAGTATAATTATTTTGAGCTATTTTCATACCAGCTCCCATGGATTAAAGCTCAATACCACAACTGCCATAAATGATACAATAAATGTTGGAAGAATGTGTTTAATCATCTAATCCAGTGGTGGGATTCAGCTGGTTTGCACCACTCTGGCAGAACTGGTAGCTAATTTTTTGTTGTCCAGGCCCAGAATGGACTTCCAGAAGAGAACCGGTTGTTCACATATTTGAATCCTGCCACTGATCTAGTCCAGTGGTGTCAAACTGGCAGCGCCTGGGCCGGATGCGTCACATGCAGGCACGCCCACCCCATTTCCACAAAGACAAAAAACACCACTATCAGTGGTGGGATTCAGATATGTGAACAACCGGTTCTCTGTGTGGATGCCACTTCTGGAAGTCCATTCTGGGCCTAGGCAACAAAAAATTAGCTACTGGTTCTCCCGAACTGGTGCGAACTGACTGAATCCCACCACTGGTCACCATACATCACAATACATCATGTGACACGATTGAGTTTGACACCCGTGATCAAGACCAACTGAAACATCCATATTACAGGTAGTCCTCAACTTACAACTACAATTTAGCCCAATATTTTTATTGCTAAGCAAAGAAATTGTTAAGTGAGTTGTGCTCCATTTTATGACCATTTTTGCCATGGTTGTTAAGTGACTCACTGCAATTAAGTTATCACACAGTTGTTACAAGAATCTGGATTCCCCCATTGCTTTCCTAGAATGGTACATCACAAAAGCTGTATTGTTTGCATTTATAATGTCCAGGAGACCAGAATGGAGATGGTATATTTATTCTTGCCCTCCTTAATCTGAGTTCAGGAGTGGAGGGCACAGTTTTGTGGTGGTTCTCCTCCTTTTTCCAGGATTGGTTCCAGTCATTATTGGTATCAGTGAAGACGTTTAGCTCTAAACCAGTGTTTCTCAACCTTGGCAACTTGAAGATGTGTGGACTTCAAGTCCCAGAATTCCTCAGCCAGTATAATTGGCTGGAGAATTCTGGGAATTGAAGTGCACACATTTTCAAGCTGCAAAAGTTGAGAAACACTACTCTAAATCCTTGCAATTTAACATCTGGATGAGGAAGACTGAGAGCATGGGCTGTGATGTCATCAGTGTAGTAATGATACTTAGGTATAAATCTTTACCCCAGACTGACCAAAAGGTTCTTTCTCACTCTCTGGAGGCTATGGAGGTCTGGATGGGGAGAAACAGGCTTAAGTTAATATTATATTTAATAGTAATAGTAATAGTAGTAAAGTTGGAAGGGACCTTGGAGGTCATCTAATCCAACCCCCTGCTCAGGCAGGAAATCCTACACCATTTCGGACAAATGGCTGTCCAGTTTCTTCTTTAAAACTTCCAGTGTTGGAGCATTTACTGCTTCTGGAGGCAGGTTGTTCCACTGATTAATTGTTCTTACTGTCAGGAAGTTTCTCCTTAGTTCCAGGTTGCTTCTCTCCTTGATTAGTTTCCACCCATTGCTTCTTGTCCTGCCTTCAGGTGCTTTGGAAAATAGCTTAATTCCTCTTCTTTATGGCAGCCCCTGAGATATTGGAATACTGCTATCATGTCCCCCCTTGTCCTTCTCTTCGTTAAACTAGACATACCCAATTCTAGCAACCGTTCCTTATATGTTTTAGCCTCCAGTCCCCTAATCATCTTTGTTGCGCTTCTCTGTACTCTTTCTAGAGTCTCAGTATCTTTTTTACATCGTGGTGACCAAAACTGAATGCAGTATTCCAAGTGTGGCCTTACCAAGGCATTGAAGAGTGGTATTAATACTTCACGTGATCTTGATTTTATCCCTCTGTTAATGCAGCCTAGCACTGTGTTGGCCTTTTTGGCAGCTGCAGCATACTGCTGGCTCATATTTAGGTGATTGTCTACTAGGACTCCGAGGTCTCTCTCACAGTTACTACTATTGAGCATGGTGCCACCTATGCTGTACTTGTGCATTTGGTTTTTCTTGCCTAAATGTAGAACCTTGCTTTTTTTCACCATTGAATTTCATTTTGTTAGTTAGTGCCCAGTGTTCAAGTCTGTCCAGATCCTTCTGTATCTTAAGCCTGTCTTCTGGAGTGTTGGCTATTCCTGCCAGCTTGGTATCGTCTGCAAATTTGATGATTTCCCCATCTATCCCCTCGTCCAGATCGTTGATGAAGATGTTGAAGAGCACTGGGCCCAGAACAGAGCCCTGGGGCACCCCACTACACACTTCCCTCCATATAGATGCAGTTCCATTGAGGACCACTCGCTGAATATGGCCGGTCAGCCAGCTACGGATCCATCTGGTGGTGATTCTGTCTACCCCACATTTTTCTATCTTATCAAGTAGTAGGTTGTGATCTGCTTTATCAAATGCCTTACTGAAGTACAATACAATACATTTATACATTTAATATCATTTAATATATTTGAATTACTCTGTTCTTCTTCTTCTTGTGCCATATCCGTTATCAGACGTTGGCGATCATGTTGGCAATCCTGTTTTTATCAGAGCCGCACAAAAAAGTGCTGCTGAGTTTTGTCCAAACCAGTCCCTTAGATTTTGAAGCCACGATGTTCTTCTTCTGCCTGGACCTCGTTTGCCTTCAATCTTTCCCTGGAGGATTAAATGGAGTATGCCGTATTTTTCTGGGTGTCGCATCACATGTCTGAAATATTCTAATTTTCATTTTTTAATTGTTTTGATGATTTCCCTTGGCTTTCCGAGGTGGCTTATCACCTCCTCATTTACTCTAGTTCCCAGAAATGATGTATTATCATTTAGGTTTTGGGTCTTCTTTGGTACTTTCATTATGTTCTCTCTCATCTCAAGTTTCAGGAAATAGCAGGCTATTAATTTTATCGGGTTACTGGGAAATTAGAAAAAAATTAACAAGAGCTGTATATATTCAAGTAAAAACAAAGTGAGAAATTCCAGTTCTTTCAAACTATTTTTAAGTAGCTTTGCTTAACCTGAACTGCCAGCTAGACCAAAGTAACATCTTTGTATATTTACCAACTGACAAATTGGTGAATTGCCCTAGGGATTTTCTCAGGTTGCAGATATTCTTCTTGTTTAAAAATAGGTATCTTAAATCTTAATAAATTTACTTCACTAAACTTTAAATCTGACTTTGCTAAATAATTTTTCCTCATATGGTATCCTCCACCTGTTTAACCATATAATTTATCCCTCACCATTGTCTATTCTGCCATAAGAGGATCAGAAGTGAAGTACAAATAATCTGAATACTATCTTTTCAGAAAATGTTGGATTACAGTATCAAATGTAGACATCCAGGAGACCTGGTTTAAAAATCTTGACTCAGTCAATGTTTATTGGGAGGTCTAAGATGAGCTTTATATTTTGCAAGATAAAACACACTCATTTTCTGAATTCATAAAATCCACTGTTCTATAAACTAACCAAACAGATTCACTCAGTATATTAAGCCAGAAAAAGACTAACCAAAGTTAAATCTAACTAAATCTAACATGTTGTTTGAATGCAGCCTCTAGGGCTTAAAAGAACATTTGGAAAGTTTTAACTGGCTAAAGAGAATTAAGAAAGTTCTGTTTCAGCCTAAACCTAAAATCTATTATTTTGAGGATAAAATGTAGAGTGAGGTCATTTTTTTATTTACAATTTCAGTTAAGTGCCACCCAGCTTCAAATTGATTCTGGATAGCTCCAAGTATAAGAACAAGATAAAAAATGTATAGTGTATATAAAAAACAGTAAACAAGATGATGAATCTGATGAACAACACAGAAGCTTATAGCACACAACAAAAGGACCCTAGTCACCATAACCCAGAGTCTGGGAAAAGAATCAGGTGCTAACTGCTCGTCTGCTGTGAAAATCCTGGAGTCAGGATAGGACAACACTACCACAAATATAAACTATTAAATTCATCTATTCAATATATTAATCTGTTCCATATCATTTTTTTTAGGAGTGCTTCTGGACATACAGAAATACTTTAATTTTAAAGACCAGACTGCGGGCCTGTTACACACTGGTAAAACAATTCTCTATCCCAGGATTGATATCCTCTTTTAATCTTTTGGTTTAGTTGGTACATATATTCTGAAAGTAAATTACTTACTACTGTGCTTTTAATTTGCAAAATGAGGAAAACAAATATGGACATTTAAATGTAAGGACAATGGAAGCCAATTTAATATAATAGTTAAAACAGATTTTGTTGGCAGATCTTCTAGATGTATTGGGGTGACAAAGCCCAGAATTCATGGCTTTTCTCTATGGGAATTATGGGAGTTGAAGTCTCAACTCATTTGTAAGTTAGGTTTTGGTTGACACAATAAAAGAAGAACTTAAGATTCTAGAAAGACTGCAGAGAAGAACAACAAAGATGACTAGGGGACTGAAGGCTAAAACATGAAGTGTGGTCACAGGAATTGGGTATGTCTAATGAAAAGAAAGACTGGGATGATATGATTGCAGTGTTCCAATATCTCAGGGGCTGCCCCAAAGAAGAGGGAGTCAAGTTATTCTCCAAAGCACCTGAAGGCAGGACAAGAAGCAACGGATGGAAACTAATTATGGAAAGAAGCAACCTAGACCTAAGGAGAAATTTACTGACAGTTAGAAAAATTAATCAGTGGAACAACTTGCCTCCTGAAGTTGAGAATGCTCCAACAGTGGAAGTTTTTAAGAAGAGATTGAACAACCATTTGTCTGAAATGGTATAGGGTTTCCTGCTTGTGCAGCAGGTTGGTCTCTTCCAACTGTGTTACAGTATTCTGTTGTAATACAGCAAGAGGGTCAAGGTGGATACCCTGAAGAAGCTTAAAAGTCATTATCCAAGTTAAGGAGCAATGATCTGCCAATATCACCACCCAAAATTTAGTTTCCAGATTCCTCTGGCTCCAATGAGGCAGGAAAGGGCACATACAGCCCTCTAAATGGTGTTCAGTAAGCATCCATACATCCTAGACCTAGACAATATGGCCAGTGGTTGGAAATTGTAGCTTAATGACACCTAAGAAACATGTGCTACATCATCCCTGCACTTGGGACCCAGGGCAACCTCTAATTCAAAGCTTGGTCAACTGCTAGAGTCAAAATTTCTATACTGATTCTATGGTATGACTCATATAAGGAAGCTCTCTATGTATATTCAAAAGAAATGATGCAATCCCCCACCCCACCCTGCTTTTGAAAATTTAAAAAAAACCTAAGGCTTGACATTTCATGGGAAACTAAATTCGGTACCTAAGTTCATATCCTGTGCTACTTAAGAGAAGTTGTGGTGGCTAACTTTTCTAAACTTAGGTCCTTTGTGATGCTGTTTGATGACATTATTCTTCATTTTGCCATTGCTTTCAGTATTTCCCACATAAAAAAAATGAATGGCTTGGATTATAATTATCTTCACATGTTGGATTGCTATGACTGCTGTCATTAAGAGGGTCATCATGTGACCATGTCCAATTTTATTACCTTTTTTGCAGCAATTGTTAAGTGAACATGGCAATCATTCAATGAGTTCCTCAATGGCCATTTTTTTTGCTGGAAATCAGAATTAAACATCAGAAACAGGTGAAAAAATATCAAAAAACACAGTCACATGATCATGGAACACTTCAAATGGCCATAAATTGGATTTAAAATAAAACGGGGTATTGTTGTGATTTCGTGCCAGCCAATGGACCCAGCAGCTGAGTCTGGGGAATCAGAGGAGGAGGAGGAGGGGCCTAGAGAGCCATCAGAGTCGGAGAAAAGCTCTGATGAGCTCCAGGACACAATCTGATGAAGAGCCTGGCCTGTCCACTTGTGCTCAGAGACCCAGATGTGGTGGGAAGCTGAGTCAGACTCTGAGGACTCACAGCTGGAAAACATAGATGCTCGCAAACACAGACAGGCAACAAGAGTAGGACAGAGGGAGGCAATGGGGCAGCTCCAAGGGTAAAAGAAAAGGCATTGAGAAGCCACGCCTTGGGGCTGCATAATAAAAAGGGAAGGTGTGGGCGGTGCTGGTTGCTGAAGGCAACCGTTTGCAAAGGACTCAAGTTTCATGGAATCATGTTCTGTTTGCCTTGCCTGTGAACAATTCTCTGTTTGAATCATGCGAAAAAGGATCATAAATCATTTTTTTCAGTGCCATTGTAACTTTGAACAGTCACCATATGAACTGTGAATTGAGGATGGCCTGTATATATGATAAAAGTGCAGTTTAGTAGCCAGTAGTACCTAGCACTTAATATTACCTAGTACTTAGTAGTACTTAGAAGCCAACAATGATTTCCCAGAAGGGATTTTGTATCTAAGGTGTCGCTATTAAAAGGCCCTTTTGTTGTCACCGTTCTCATGCCAGTTATGCAGATAAGACCACGAGCTTGCTAGTTTATTGCAGATTAGGTTTTACTGTAAGGAATGTTCTTCTGTGTTCTGGGGTCCTAAGCCTTTTATAGACTTGCATTTTAATGTTAACAATTTGAAGAAGATCCAGTAATCCACAGTTGCCAGTGGAGCACCTTAAGTATTGATATTGGGGGATTCCAATTAGCTGTCCAATTCAGCAATTGGATAGCTGTGTTCTTCATCAATAGCAAGATGTGTCTCGTCTTCCAGGATAATTTCAGGTGAAACAGACTGTAATGAATCTAATGTGAGATGACAAATGCATTAAAATGATAGTTGTGTTGAAAGTTAGGTGAGATTGTTTACTTGTCTTTATCATTACTCTCCTTTCTTTTCATGGCAGTTTTCATTATCTGTTTCTTGTTCTCGGCTCCTGTTTTTGGATACCTTGGGGACCGATACAATCAGAAAATCATCCTCAGCATTGGAATATCCCTCTGGTCAACTGTTACCTTTTGTAGCTCCTTCATCCCTGCATCGGTAAGAGAGATTATTTGCTTTGGTATATTCCTCTCTGCTCCATTCTGGATCAATTCTTCGTCCTAGTGCCAATCTGTTTAAATATTTAGAGATTATAGAGTGCATGCATCAAGGTCAGCAATATGATGGCTGAAAACTTTTATCACATTTGCCAAATTCTACGCAGGAACATAGCATTTCATTGAAGATTTCAATGTATTCACCCAAGATTTCCAAAATATTGTGGGGTGTGTTGATGATGGTGATAATCATTTGTTAAATTTCTATTCTGACTTTCTTGCAGAAATCTAGATGCTGTATATAATGCACCCCCCCAAAAAATTAATTAATAATGAATTAAAATGGGATTTGGACCATACAGTGGCTTTCTCAGAAGAAGCATTCAAGAAGCAAAAAAGCTGTCCAGTCCTCCTTGTTTCTTGGCCCTGTCACTTGTGCACCTATTTATCCATAAATCCATTTTCTTTTATTTCCACACAAATCCATTAATTAAATAATGGAAATGGGCATTTAAATAGTATCTAATGCATCTTCTAAAAAATGTTGGGTCTTAAAATATGCATTTCTAAGGATATTTTCTTGCTTTGAATTTTCAAAAGTATAACCTGTCCATAACATTGCATTAGGCCATTGATTATAGCAGATATAACAGCTGGATCTTAAGTACTGCTTTAAGTTTTCATAATATTTAGTGGTACTAGGAATTGCTGGTGTATTTAAGAGCTAAAGCACTCTGATGTTAATTTGCTATTTTTATTTTATGTTGGATTTTTTAAATAATGTATTTTATGCATCTTTAGAAATAAAATGTATTTATGGTTTAAATTATTCAGGTCAGAAGTATGAAGAAACATATACAATTGTGACAAACAACAATTGCTTAAAGTCAGGTTAACAATCTGAGTTTCAGGTCAAAATAGTATTGACCATACTTTATGATTGAAAGAGAGTAATTTCACAACCAAAAATAACAAAAACAGCTTCTTTCAACATGTAAAAAACAAAAAAAAAAGTGAAGGAAATGATTGGTCCATTAGTGGGGGAAAGTGGCAAGAAGGTGACAAGCAACAGGGAGAAAGCAAAACTATTTAACTCATTTTTTGCATCTGTTTTACACAAAGGGAAAAAACAGTCCAACCTATCAAAAACAGTACCATAAAAAACAGATTAGAAACACAAGCTAAGATAGGCAAGAAAATGGTAAGTGAGCACCTGTCCAGCCTAGATGAGTTCAAATCACCAGGACCAGATGGATTATACCCCAAGGTTCTCAAGGAACTGGCAGATGTGATCTCAGAACCACTGAACTATATTTTTCAAAGATCCTGGAACACTGGGGAACTACCAGAGGACTGGAAAAGAATTGATGTAGTTCCCATCTTCAAAAAAGGAAAAAAAATGGATCCAAGAAACTACAAACCTATCAGCCTGACCTCAATACCTGGGAAGATTCTGGAAAAGATAATCAAACAACAAATCAGCGAACACCTAGAGACAAACAAAGTCATTACTAAAAGCCAACATGGGTTTGTCAAAAACAGATCATGCCAGACAAATCTTATTGCATTCTTTGACCAAGTGACAAAATTAATGGACCAGAGGAATGCTGTGGATATAATTTACTTGGACTTCAGTAAGGCATTTGATAAAGTAGATCACAACCTACTACTTGATAAGATAGAAAAATGTGGGTTAGACAGCATCACCACCAGATGGATTCGTAGCTGGCTGGCTGGCCATACTCAGCATGTGGTCCTCAATGGAACCGCATCTACATGGAGGGAAGTGTGTAGTGGGGTGCCCCAGGGCTCTGTTCTGGGCCCAGTGCTCTTCAACATCTTCGTCAATGATTTGGACGAGGGGATAGATGGGGAACTAATCAAATTTGCAGATGACACCAAGCTGGCAGGAATAGCCAACACCAGTGCTTTTTTTGTTAAAAAAAAAAAAAAGGTGCTGGAACTCACACACATCATACAACCTGCCTTGCCTACCCTACAAGGTCCCATCCAAAAAAGGTGCCGGAACTCCGTTCTGGCCATTCTATGACAAAAAAGCCCTGGTCAACACTCCAGAAGATAGGCTTAAGATACAGGAGGATCTGGACAGACTTGAACATTGGGCACTATCTAACAAAATGAAATTCAATGGTGAAAAAAATAAGGTTCTACATTTAGACAAGAAAAACCAAATGCATAGGTATAGTATAGGTGGTACCTTGCTCAATAGTAGTAACTGAGAGAGGGATCTTGGAGTCCTAGTGGACAATCACTTAAATATGAGCCAGCAGTGTACTGCAGCTGCCAAAAAAGCCAACACAGTGCTAGGCTGCATTAACAGAGGGATAGGATCAAGATCACGTGAAGTACTAATACCACTTTACAATGCCTTGGTAAGGCCACACTTGGAATACTGCATCCAGGTTTGGTCACCACAATGTAAAAAAGATGTTGAGACCCTAGAAAGAGTACAGAGAAGAGCCACAAAGATGATTAGGGGACTGGAGGCTACAACATATAAGGAACGGTTGCTGGAATTGGGTATATCTAGTTTAATGAAAAGAAGGATTAGGGGTGACATGATAGCAGTGTTCCAATATCTCAGGGGTTGCCATAAAGAAGAGGGAGTCAAGCTATTGTCCAAAGTGCCTGAAGGCAGGATAACAAGCTACGGATGGAAACTAATTAAGGAGAGAAGCAACCTAGAACTAAGGAGAAACTTCCTGACGGTTAGAGCAATTAATCAGTGGAACAACCTGCCTCCAGAAGTGGTGAATGCTCCAACACTGGAAGTTTTTAAGAAGAGACTGGACAGCCATTTGCCTGAAATGGTACAGGGTTTCCTGCCTGAGCAGGGGATTGTACTAGATGACCTTCAAGGTCCCTTCCAACCTTATTATTATTATTATTATTATTATTATTATTATTATTATTATTATTATTATTATTATTATTATTATTGATCATCGCACAGTCAGCCAGATGTTCAGACTGGATTTGGCATTTTGTCTACCTATCGAGTCCTTACCCAGGACCTGGGATAGGCAGATGTGGATGTTTGATGGTATTACAGATATCGTCGCAGGATGGAAGCAGTTCCTAATAAGGCCGCCTTTTGCAATTGACTAATAGCGAATTTGTCAATGCCAATGGTGTTCAAGTGGTGCTCCAGTTGTTTTGGGATTGCACCCAAGGAGCCTATGACTATTGGTACTACCCTTGCTTGCTTTTGCCACAGTCTTTCTATTTCTATTTGTAGGTCTTTGTATTTTGTTATCTTCTCCAGTTCTTTCTCTTCTATTCTGCTATCTCCAGGCACTGCCACGTCCACTATCCAGACTTTTTTGTCTTTCTTATCGACAATTGTTAAGTCTGGGGTGTTATGTTGCAGGTGCTTGTCTGTTTGAATTCTGAAGTCCCAGGAGCAGTTTAATTTTATCATTTTCTATGACTTTCTCTATTTTATGATCCCACCAGTTTTTGCTTACAGGCAAATGATATTTTTTGCAGATCTTCCAATGCACCATTGTTGCTACTTTGTCATGCCGCTGCTTGTAATCAGTTTGTGCAATCTTCTTGCAACAGCTTACCAAGTGGTCCACTGTTTCTTCAGCTTCTTTGCATAGGCGGCACTTACTGTCTGTTGCTGTCTTCTCAATTTTGACTTTGTATGCATTTGTCCTTAAGGCTTGGTCTTGTGCAGCCAGAATTAGTCCCTCGGTCTCTTTCTTCAATTTTCCTGCTCTTAGCCATTGCCAGGTTTTATTATTATCTGCTTTCCCAGCTATTTTTTTCATGTATTGGCCATGTAGTGCTTTGTCTTCCCATGCCTCTATTCTGTTCTTCATTTGGTCTTTCTTGTAGGCCAGTTTGGTCTCTCCAGTAGTTAGTAAGCCTTCCTGATATACTAATTTCAGTGCATCTTCATCATTGTTCTTCAGATATTCTTCCAAAGCCATTTTTTCTTCTTCAACCATCTGATGTACTTGTAGCATTCCACGCCCACCTATTTGCCTTGGTAGATAAAGTCTATCAATGTCACTGCGTGGATGAAGGGCATGATTCATTGTCATTATTTTTCTGGTCTGCCTATCCATTGCTTTTAGTTCTGCTTGAGTCCAGTCCACTATTCCAGCTGTGTACCTAATGACTGGGATTGCCCAGGTGTTGATTGCCTTTATGGTATTTCCTCCATTGAGTTTGGACTTTAAGATCTTCTTCACTCTCTTGATGTATTCACCTCTAATCTTTTTCTTGACTTCAGTGTGCTTGATGTTGTCAGCTTGAAGGATACCCAAGTATTTGTAGTACTCTTCCTCATCCAGACTCTTAATGTTATTTTCGTGGGGCATCTTGATTCCTTCAGTTTTCACTATTTTTCCTTGTTTGATAGTAAGTGTGGCACATTTGTCCAAGCCAAACTCCATTACAATATCTTGGCTATATATACGGACAGTGTTGAGCAGCGATTCTATTTCAGATGATGTTTTTCCATACAGCTTCAGATCATCCATATAAAGGAGGTGGGATAGTCTGGCAGATGTTTTTGATGTTTGATAGCCATGTCCTGAGTTATTCAGTATTGTTGACAGAGGAAACAGTGCAATAACAAATAGTAATGGTGATAATGAATCTCCTTGAAATATTCCTCTCTTGATATTAACCTCTCCCAGCCTCTCACCATTGATCTGCAACTGTGTCTTCCATTGTGCCATCGATCTTTGCACAAATTTTCTGATGTTTCTACTGACTCCTGTTATTTCTAGGCACTTTATTATCCAATCATGTGGCAGAGAGTCAAATGCCTTTTTGTAGTCAATCCATGCTACATTCAGGTTGGTCTTCCTTCTCTTGCAGTTTTCCAAGATCATTTTGTCTATTAGGAGTTGATCTTTTGTTCCTCTGCTATTGGGGCGGTTTCCTTTCTGCTCAGGTGGAAAGAGATTGTTTTCAACTAGATGCTGTTGCACTGCATCAGCTACTACACCAGTTAGTAATTTGAAAGTTGTTGGTAAGCAGGTAATTGGCCTGTAGTTACCTGGTGTTGCCCCTTTTGCTGGATTTTTCATTATTAGGTAGGTTTTCCCAGTTGTTAGCCACTTTTCAATTTCTCCTCCTTGTAGTATATTGTTGAACTGTTTGGCAATGAGTGGGTGTATAACAGTTAGATGTTTCAACCAAAACCCATGCAGTTCATCTTCACCTGGTGCTGACCAATTTTTGATTTTCTTTGCTCTTTTTTCTACCATTTTTGTTGTTATTACTAGTTCTTTCATTTCAACTTCTGTTTTATTTGCATCCACCTCTTTTAACCAAGCCGCATCCTTGTTATATTTCTTTGGGTTATCCCATATCTGCTTCCAGAACTGCACTGTTTCTTCCTTGTCAGGTACTGACTGATTCCTTGCAGTTTCTCCATTGATGGATTGGTAGAAACGTTTCTGATTGGATTGAAATTGGAGGTTCTGCCTATAGTTTGCAATTCGAGCTTCATATCTACTGATTTTCCTGGCTATAGCTGTTATTTGTTGCTTTATTATTTCCAGTGCTTCCTTGATCTTCCTTGTTTCTAAGTGGTATTTCTTGATTAGGTATTCTTTGGTCTTCTTGTTCTTCAGCTTCTTTTCTTTCATCTGTTCTAGTTTGCTTGCATGTGATCTTAACTTGCTGATCTTATTTTCTAGACTAACCTTCCATTTTTCTGGTGCACTGTTTGTTTGTTTTTCTTTTTTGTTGATTTTGCATCCCAGGTATTCTGTTATAACTGCAGCTGTGCTGTACATTAGTTGGTTTGTTTCTTGCAGTGATTTGGTGCTTATACTTGATATTGCAGTATTTGCATCTTTAATGCTTGTGCTAGCTGTTTCTTTGGAACAAGCTTCAATGCAGGTAGCCTTATTCTGTTGTTTTTGTGCTGTTCTAGATGCTCAGTTATTCTTTGTTTCAATTCTTTTATTTCTTTAGTTAGAGGGTTTTGTTCTTTCTGAGGAAGAGGTGCCTGGTTTCCAAATGAGAACAGTTGTATATCTCTGCTGGATTCCTTCACTGCCAACTCCCCTGGTTTGCCTCTACATTCTGAATTACTTCTGGTAAGGCTTTGATTTCTTTGCCCTGGGTAAACCTTTGCAGTTCGTCCAATTCTGTTTCTGTGAATATTTTATTTCGTGTTATAAATCCGGCGTTGATCTGCTAGTCTCTGTTTTGTTATTTCTGATTCTGGATGTTGTTCTTTCCAGAACTGGTGCATTCGTTTTAGATATCCTCTTCTTGTTGGACTTGATCTGTAGTAACAGATCATTATTTCTTTGTTTTCAATCACTGTGTATCTGCGATGGGTAAACATCTTTTCTTCCATTAGTTCTGCAGCTGCTGGCCCTGGTTGCTCAGCCAACAGTCCTGAGTCCTGTAACCCATTTTTCACCAGATATCCAGGAACTCCAATATCTAGCGCGGACCTTGTTAACCCGGGCGACGTCCAAGCCGGTATGGCATTCTGCAATTTACGTCTCACCATATTTTTTATGGGAGAGACACTCTTTGTCTGACTCCTCTGATGAGATCTGTCCAGTATGGTTGAACCTCTGGCATAGCTCTCATCTTCCTCAGAGTACACAAGCCCCACAACCACGTCAAGGTAGTGCCTCTTTGGGGGCCAAGGTAGTGCCTCACTGGGGGATTATTATTATTTGCAACCCAGGAAGTGCACCTATTGTATCACAGCATCCTCCCTCTGGAATGAGTTGCCCCCTGATATCTGAATGGCTCCCATCATTATGGTATTGTGGAAGGCCTTAATGATCTCACTGTTTTCTTAGTTTTAGGGGGAGTTGGATGGAACCTACCAGTGGTAAGGGGTTGTCATATTTTGTACATTTTTGGGTAGGCTGTCTGGATTTCCCAGCTTATTTCTTTCACGCTATTTTTACTGAACTGATTGCAATTTTATCTTGTTTTTCTTTATATTGTGAGCTGCCTAGAGTCATTTAATACAGAGGTGTTTGTCACAAACTGAAATGAAGGTCACATTGAACTGAAATGGACTACATATTTCATAATGCTTGCACAGATGGAATTCACCCCCTAAATTCCCTCCTGAAGTTTCTCCCACGTAATCCAGTGGCACAACTGCTGAAAGTTAAGGCTGTGATTTTAAAATTTCATCTAGTCTCTTAGGATGGCACATTTACCCACGAGGTCCGACTTGTCAAACTCTTGACGTCGCGTGATGTCACGCGACGTATCGGAGCTTTTTCTCCATTACCGGCAATGGGGTGGGCGCGGTTTCCTGGTGATGCATCCGGCCCGTGGGCCAGCAGTTTAACACCCGTGCATTAAGTAGTTACTGGATTTCTTGCTTAGTCTCTGACCATCATATAAGAGTACTAACCTGGTTTGGTCAAAGCAATCATCAGTCCTGTCAAAAGAGCTGATTTTCATTATCCTCTACATTTGTTCAAAATGTAGACCATGCTCACAGAGGAGGAAGAGGAAGAAATGACGATGGAGGAGCAAGAAAGGCCTATCATGCAGATGCCCCCATGTTTGTTTGTTTGTTTAATTTATATGCTGTTCATCTTGCTATCCAGCAAGATTCTGGGCAGTTTTCAATGGCTCTGGGTGATTTACGTTATTTAGTGAGCAGTACAAAATAATAATCTTTTAGTTAAGGCAGGAGTAGGCAACTTTGACTCTTTTATGACTCGTGGACTTCAACTCCCAGAATTCCTGAGCCAGCATGACTCAGCTTGGAAACCTCTCCCTTTCCCCTCAGCATGGCTGGCTCAGGAATTCTGGGAGTTGAAGTCCACGAGTCATAAAAAAACCAAGGTTGCCTACCACTGAGTTAAGGTGATTAATTTCATTTGGAATTCTGTGTGATTGTTGCCTTGCCTTTTTTTGGGGTGTGTGCGTGTAGTGAACTCTCTTTTCCTCAGAAAAATTGCATCAAGATACTTGGCACCATTGGTTCTGTGAGGGGATTCTTTATTAAACCTCCCCCATGTACAAGCCTCCACAAAAGTTATACCGGTACAGCCATCTTTTTCTGTTTCAAAATTGCCAAAAGTTGCAAAAAGTTTTGAAATTTTCCGAGTTGGCCAAAAACATTCAAGGCATCTTTCTTCTTTTTCTAAACTTAGGTTGAAGGAATAGTACTTTCCAACTACTACATGAAGTAGTTCCTGGTAGAACTACTCAGAAAACCTCATCTGAAAAAAAAAAAAAAAAAAAAAAAACCTAGGGAATATCAAGAGGTTCATCCTATCTCAGTGACGGCGAACCTTTTAGAGACCGAGTGCCCCAAAACTCCCCCCCGCTCCATCCTCTGCCCTGCCCCCCATCCCCCACCCAGCCTGTCCACAGGGCCACTCACCACCTCCAGGGCCCGCCGCAGATTGCCCAGGCAGCCCAGCAGCGCTATGGCAGTCACGCCCTCCACCCGTGCCCTGCAATATCAACTGTGCATGATGGGGTGTGAGGGCAGAGTCTTGTCTACGCTGCCTGGCTGCCATGTCCTTGGCTGCGCTGCTCCGGGTGGGCCACGCTCAGGGGCAACTCTCCTTCAGGGGGGCTGCTAGAGAGGAGGGGGTTGCGGGGAGAGGCGAGGCTAGGGCAATGGCACGTGTGCCCACAAAGAGGGCTCCGAGTGCCGCCTCTGGCACCCGTACCATAGGTTCGCCACCACTGTCCTATCTGATCACACCCCATGATTAGTATTTTTTTAACTAGGGAATCCTTGGAAGAAAGCTACTGCCCAGTAAGATTTTTAAATGATCATCCTTCCCAATTTTTAACAGGATCTTTTCAGAAAACTCTAAACTTCAACACCATTTTACAGAATTTAGGGGCGTGGGATTCAAATTGCAGTTCTATACCTATTACCTAGTGTCAAAACTAGGAGGGGAAAAAACTCCATCCTGTATTCCTATATCCTATGCAAAGTTTCTTATAAATACACCTCTCGTTATTTAATCGGGTAAATTATTTGCAAGAATTCCACTCTCAGCCGCTTTACGTGATCACGAACATCCTTTGACGCTAGAAGAGCTCATGCAAGACTAGGAAAAGACTGCAAGGAAGCAGGCAGGCAGACAAGAGTTTGATTATTTTGTCACTATAATTGGATTGCACATCAGAGAGGTATCAGACGCAGTTTCAAGAAGCTGGCCATTTCATCAAGTGTTGTAGGAGGTCGGGATTTCAGCAAAGCAATTCTATCCTTAGTGGACAGACTGCAACAAAAATAGCAAAATGGACAGATTATATATGTGAGTGGCTGGAAAAGTGGCTCTTACAACTACAAAAAAAAAAAGGCAGGCATCTGTATTTACAATCAAACAATTAACATTTCAGAAGAGCAGGAAAACCTCATGTGTAGTCAAGAAAGGCTGTGTGATTTTGTCATTCAGTGCGTGATCCGACAGAAGCGTCCGTAATTACGAATACTAACAGAAAGGTTCCAAACAGCGCGTTTCAATAATTATGAAATGATTCCTTATTCCTGGAGTTTGGAGACATTTTAAGCTGCCATGAGACATCCAAATTATATGTACAGGTGGTCCTCAGCTTATAACCAATCGTTCAGTGACCATTCAAAGTTATAATGGCACTGAAAAAAGCGACTTAGGACTATTTTTCACATTTACAACCATGGTTTATATTTATGATGGTTGCCGTGTCCCTGGGTCACGTGATCACCTTTTGCGACAAGCGAAGTCAATGGGGAAGCCAGATTCACTTAGCAACTGTTACTAACTGAACTGCAGTGATTCACTTAACAACTGTGACAAGAAAGTTCGTAAGATGGGGGGGGGGGAAACTCACTTAACGATGGTCTAATTTAGCAACAGAAATGTTGGGCTCCGTTGTGGTAGTAAGTCAAGGAGTACCTATACTGTATTATTTTTTATTTGTTTTACCCTGGAATTATACCCTGCATTTGGTTTCTCCTCTTCAAATAATATTACCTGCAGTCTCTGAAGGATGTTTTCCTTTTTCTGTTACAATGACTGCTCCTTTAAGAGGATCTCTCTCTGTCTCTGTCTCTCTCTCTCTCTCCCTCTCTCTCTTAGGAAGCTCAGAAATGCCATCTCCTTCAGGTAAATGAATAAAAGCACCAGATACTGCAAGCCAAATCTAAGGCAGCTCTTCCATTGGTCCACTCCATCACCCACTTCCCTTCTGTTAAAATTCCATTTCAAAAGATTTAATTTCACAGCCCCATCATTTATCTCTTAGCTTCCAAACCGACAATGCCAATTTTCAGATACATATCTATATATATTGTTATCAGTTAAAAGCAAAACCCAGAATGTTATTCTTATTCCTCCTTAGGCAAAATCTATAACTTTTACGGAATGAACTGAAATCGTTTTATTGGCGAGCTTAGTGCTTTTTAAAGTGTGCATTTACAAATTTTTTTTTGCTGATCCTTCTTATCCGGTTTTAAAGGAATACAAATAAATGTGTTTCACCTTTGACGTGCACAGGTTGATGTCCCTGCTGGCTGGACAGAGGTTACTGATCAACAGTCCACAAAGTATCAGCTTGGGGAAGACTAATTTCAGCCCTTAATTCTTACTTCTAATTCTACATAGATAGTTTAAATAGTTTATTAATTGATGAGTCTTTATGACCATATCAAAAATAGAAATCAAAAATCAAAATGTAAGATAAACTAGATAAAAGATAATACACTACAGGTAGTCCTTGACTTATGACCACAATGGAGCCCAAAATTTCTGTTGCTAAATGAGACAATTGTTAAGTGAGTTTTGCCCTTTTTTATGACATTTCTTGCCACAGTTGTTAAGTCAGTAACACGATTGTAAAGGGAATCTGGCTTCCCAATTGACTTTGCTGGTGAGGTGGTCACAAAAGATAAAATCACATGACCCTGGGACATGCAACCGTCATAAATATGAACCAGTTGCCAAGCATCCAAATTTTGATCATGTGACCACAGGGACTACTGCAACGGTTATAAATGTAAAAAAGTCATAAGTGACTTTTTTCAGTGCTGTTGTAACTTTGAACTGTCACTAAACTAATAATTATAAGTCTAGGACAGGGGTAGGCAATTTTGGCTCTTTTATGACTCGAGGACTTCAACTCCCAGAATTTCTGAGCCAGCATGACTCAGCATGGAAACCTCTCCATTTCTCCTCAGCATGGCTAGCTCAGGAATTCTGGGAGTTGAAGTCCATGAGTCATAAAAGAGCCAAGGTTGCCTACCTCTGGTCTAGGAGTATATGTAATAAAATACGTATGTGGTAAATACAAAGAATCAACAGTCAGGTAAATACATCCCCTTTATATGATCTCCCAATCTCTTCAATATGACAGGCCCTTAGTTCTGTTAACTATTGTAGTTAACTGCCTTTACTACTGTATATTCTGCTGTATAAGACGACCTCCGTCTTCGGCGCCGAGTCGCATGCCTACAAAGTCGTCTTATACGCTGGAAACTACTGTTATTTCTGGCGTATAAGACGACTTGGCGTATAAGACAATCCCTGACTTCGGCGCCAATTTTAATGCTTGCGAAAGTCGTCTTATACGCCGGAAAGTACGGTACAATTCTAAGCAGTTCTGCTCACATGCACAGATTAGAGCCCAGAAGGAAATCAGATCTGCAAATCAGGTCCCAGCAGCTGTTCGTTCATTCATTCATTCATTCATTCATTCATTCATTCATCATTCATTCGACAATCAAACAAAACATGAGCAATTACTTTAATGGTTGTGGCACCCCATAGACATGATTTGACAGGTGGTGGAAGTACCCAATTTTTCCTCTTCAGTCCTCCTTGTTTTTTAGCTATAAACATCTCTTGGTAGATATAAACATCTCATGCTATCTTTTTAAACTCATGAAAGTTGCCAAGCAAAGTCCATACTCACAAAAGAAAAACCAAGGAACGGTGCTGCATAAAACCACAATTTAGTAATAGTAGTAAAGTTGGGAGGGACCTTGGAGGTCATCTAGTCCAACCCCCTGGTCGGGCAGGAAACCCTACACCATTTCGGACAAATGGCTGTCCAGTCTCTTCTTAAAAACTTCCAGTGTTGGAGCATTTACTGCTTCTGGAGGCAAGCTGTTCCACTGATTAATTGTTCTCACTGTCAGGAATTTGCTTTAAAGTCTACCCAAGTTTGACTCAACGTGATCAAAAAATGTGGAAAAAGCAGACCTGCACACAGACCTCCAATTCCCTTACGTCTCCTGCCCATCATACCCAGGATCGATCTGTTTCAGCAAGCTTTGCCCAAAGATCCATTATTTTTTTCTTTTCCTTCTGAATTAACATGCAGGGTGGATTTTTCTCTTACTTATTTCACTTCGCCTGATCAAAAATGAGGCAAGAAGTTTTGCTGCACAGGTTAAGCACCCAGCGCACACTGTCCTCTGCTTGCAAAGTACCCCAAGCCAGGCCAAATTACTTTGTTGTCTGAGGCACAAAGTGACAACGCACCCTTTCCTATCCTTGACAATCATTATAATAATAAATATTAAAATAAATATTTGCTTCCTGAGGTCATCCAAAATCTGCTAACTGGGATAACAGTTCTATTCTGCTTTATGGTAAGTGCTACTGTAGAGTTACCAAAGCTATGGCTATTATTACTGTGTCGAAGAATATGGTTAATGCCCAAGAGAGCTTAATAGAGAGTTATGCATCTCTATCAAAATCTCTGAATAATGATTTGAGGAAAGGAAAGAGAGAGGAAGGGGGAGAGGGAGGGAGAGAAACAGTGTAATAATCTCGTTCAATTATTCTGCCCTCCATCCTAAGGAGACGAAAAAAGAACTGTAGGCTAAGTAGCTCTGATCTAACAGGCTAGTTTGGCACATTGGCAGGTGACTTTAAGCAGAATTCTTTGACAAACCTCTGCCCGTTTTTCTATCCTGCTTCTTTGCCCAACCTTTTAATACTATTCCCTCTGTTGCATCCATACCCTACTTTCCTCTTTCGCACAGGATAAGAGAAATCGCCTGAGTGTGAGATCATGTTAGCTTGCCACTAACCTATGTTCTCTCTTTGTTCTTTCAATTAAATTCTTGCTCTCAGGCAGCTGGAGATAAAATATGTATTTGTGCAATGTGAGGACATCATGATCAAGGCATTTCTGCCTGTCACGAGAGTAGAAAGATTCCCTTCTCTTTCACTAACTGTAGAGTTAGTGTTAAAATTAACCTTAAATTTTCTCTTTGCCTTCCCTGACATGAAACCGTACTCTAGTAGCCGATTACCCACAGATCTTACCTGTTGCATTGGAAAGAGCCAGCGACTCCATTGAACCCCGAGGAGTTTGTTCTGTGCGTGACAATTTTTCAGTGAATTTCAGCGCGCTGAGTGGATGCCTGGTCCGGCAATGCGGTTCCGTCATGCTACTGTCTTCTTCTTGGTCATACTTGTAACTCCCTCTGGTTTCACTAAAACTCTGGTTGGACATGTCACTGTAACTCTCCTGCGACCGAAGCCTTCCTGAGTAATAATCTTCTCGGCATTCCTGAATGAAACTGCTACCATGTCCTTTCATGGCTAGAGAGGTGTTTCTCTTTGGGTTGTTGAAATGTTTACCCCACAGTTCTTGTTGAGGACCTGGTGTCTGTGCTGGGTTGTAAGACGTCCTGACGTTACACTGACTGAGCAGCTGCAAAGGACTTTGTGATGGACTTTGCTCCATTTTGTTCCCGTAGTGGTAGAGTTCATCTCTGCTCCTCCATACGTGGTCCCTGTTTAGGCTCGGAGTCTGGCTGGACAAACTCAGCAGGTCCATCTGCAAGGAGAGAGGGTCCACGTCTGCAGACAGTCTGCTGGAGGTCACCTGCAATTGATTATTCTGGCTGCTGGCGTTCTCTTCTCCTTTGTTCCTGTTCTTCCCAATCTTAGCACTACGCCGGGATTCTTTGGCTCTGGCACTTTGGAAGGCAGAGTCTGATGAATCTGAACCGTTTGGATCATCACCCATGCTGCAGGCTCTGGAGCAAAAAATCTGTCCTTGCTTTGGCAAAAATGGTCGGCCCAGCAGAGATTTCTTACATTGGGCGCAGCAAAAGCAGGTCTCTGTAGCATGCCAGTGTTGACCATCATACGTCATCTGACCCTGATCGATGCCTTTAGGTAAGGGAGAAAAATACCATAAGTGCCAATCATACTACAATTTGGAGCAAAGCAGATGAGACATTTAGCAAGCTATTTTTTCCCCATAGTACCTACTGAGCAAAGATTAGTAATACTTGTGATTGTGACGTTCTCCCATTATTCTACTATAATTCAAAAGGTGATCTGATCGAATTTGTTCCTTAAGCACATCAGGCAGTACATGCAGTTCTTTTACCGCGAAATTTTCCATGCACACAAACATTCAAAAATGGAACACTTGTAATGGAGAGCAAAAGATTTCTATAGGTAGAGCAGTCTATATGGGGAAGCAGAATGTGTTAAACACATCGCTCCATTATTTCATGCTAACAGTTCCAATAGTGAAAAAAAAATGTTGGAAATATAGCCTGTGGAGTCCATGGTGGTCCCTGAGTTTGTTTGTTTGCAGACGTTTCATTATATAACTAGACAACATCAACGTAATAAAATATCCTCCAGCAAACAACTAAGCTCAGAGAGCACCAAGGATTCCAGAGTTCAACCCGGAGCTACATATGTTCTTTTCTATTGGAGCTCTATATGGCTTTTCTGGAATATTATAATTACATCCTATCCAGAGAAAGAAGCATTCAGAATATGGACTCATCACTAGATACATTTGCTCTGGTTTTATATCAGATTCCAGAGCCCAAAAAGTTAATAATCATCTTTTTTCTCTAGTCTGTCTGATGAAACAGAAAGAAAATGGAGCCCTCAGAGAATTATCCCGCTTGCCAGTTTTGTCATCAATCTTCTGCCATGAAACAGCAGAAAAAAAGACAAAAAAACCCCCTTGCTCGTAATTCAGTACCCCCTGGGGATTATCAAAAAGAATTAGGCCAATTAGTATTTCAACAATAAAAAACACTCTGTTTTCAATCAGAAAGGATCCTGAAGCTTACCTGTCATGGGTCAGGCTAGCTGTTCTTGAAATTAACACAACTTCCTGCTACCTCCCTTAAGTTGGGTGGTTTTTTTTTTTTACTTTGCAGTAAAACAAAAAGTTACATTCTCGGACCTCAGGGGGATATATTTTTTAAAGGGTCAACTGGCCTGCTCCAAATGTTTAAATAAAAAGAGATTTAAAAAGGGATAATAGACAAACTTCCCCACCTGATACCCTTCAGATATGCAAGATGATACTGACCATATGAACTCAGGATGAAGAATCTTAACTGATATTGAAAAATTATAGTCTTAATACTAGCTTGATGAAGGTTCGATCTAGATAACTGGAGGGCAAGCTTTATTCAGAGCTAGATCAAGTCATATTAATTAATTAATTCAGTTTTAGTTGTTACTCTTGCTGTGTCAATCCTCTGTTGAGAACTTGACACCTATGTTTTGGAAAGTGGTCACCAGTTGATTACTCAAAGCTGAAATGCAGCTGCTGGCATTAAATTGTGCCCAGCAGATCCTGATACATTACAGAATGAGTGGTTGGTTAGAAATGTGCAATAAAGTTCCCTGACCAACTTATATGTAAAATATAATTGAGTTGAATTGATTGTGATCATTGAGTTACAGTGTTGATCTGAAGCTAACTTTCTAGTGATCCACTATGATGCAAAAGGATGAGAAAATTAAGAAGTGACTGCTTCATATACTGTTAAGCTGTGGTTTCTTAACTGTTGAATAACTATTATTAGCTAGGTATTCATGGCAAACTAAACTGTAATCTATGCATTACAAACCACAATGGCTGAGTTTTCATAACATACTAAACCAAAACAAACAAACAAAATCCCCACAATGACTAAGCGTGATGTGGGAAGCCAGCCAATGAATGTGTACATAAACTGAATGCATGTTCTTCATTTCTCCCTCATATGGATTAACATGAAGGGATAACTGTCAATGAACGTGATAAATCTTCAAAATGGTTCTGTCACATCCCTAATCTGTGTTCCTGGCAGACCCACACTCTTTGTGAGTCAATGGCTGTGGCCTAATTACTAACAGTAATGAGTCACCAATTATTATAACTTTTCATCTTGCAGAATCAATTTTATCCTCACTGCTCTTCAGAGAATCTATCTCCTAAATTCAGTTACTTATATTAATAGGAACATCATTTTTATAATAATAGTAATAATTTCTTTTTACCAAAGTATGCCGTGAGGTTTAATCAAACACATGCAAATTTATGACAATGAGAAAACTATCCCCAATAGACTGCAAAAATGGGCCTAAAACTAATCATCCTTCCATTAGCCCAGAGTGAGTAACCCAGGGGTCTTCAAATGTGGCCTTTTTATGACTTGTGGACTTCAACTCCCAGAATTCCTCAGCCAGCGTCATAAAAGGGCCAAGTTTGAAGACCCCTGGAGTAACCATTAGATGTTTCTTTAAATTGTTTCAAAAGGCTAACAATAGTTTGTAAAACCAGTACACCAAAATCAAAACAATTATCTACAAATAGATTTAAACAGCTAAGTTGTTGCCAATTATGCTGACTAATTCATTAACATGTTAGGTTAGCCATCAACATTAGTAACAGACCTATTAGCCTGACCTCAATACCTGGGAAGATCCTGGAAAAGATAATCAAACAATGAATCAACGAACACCTAGAGGCAAACAAAGTCATTACCAAAAGCCAACACGGGTTTGTCAAAAATAGATCATGCCAGACAAATCTTATTGCATTCTTTGACCAAGTGACAAAATTAGTGGATCAAAGGAATGCTGTGGACATAATTTACTTGGACTTCAGTAAGGCATTTGATAAAGTAGATCACAACCTACTACTTGATAAGATAGCAAAATGTGGGGTAGACAGAATTACCACCAGATGGATCCGTAGCTGGCTGACCGGCCGTACTCAGTGAGTGGTCCTCAATGGAACCGCATCTACATGGAAGGAAATGTGTAGTGGGGTGCCCCAGGGCTCTGTTCTGGGCCCAGTGCTCTTCAACATCTTCATCAATGATTTGGACAAAGGGATAGATGGGGAACTCATCAAATTTGCAGACGACACCAAGCTGGCAGGAATAGCCAACACTCCAGAAGACAGGCTTAAGATACAGAAGGATCTGGACAGACTTGAACACTGGGCACTATCTAACAAAATGAAATTCAGTGGTGAAAAAAGCAAGGTTCTACATTTAGGCAAGAAAAACCAAATGCACAAGTACAGCATATGTGGCACCTTGCTCAATAGTAGTAACTGTGAGAGGGACCTCGCAGTCCTAGTAGACAATCACCTAAATATGAGCCAGCAGTGTGCTGCAGCTGCCAAAAAGGCCAACACAGTGCTAGGCTGCATTAACAGAGGGATAGAATCAAGATCATGTGAAGTATTAATACCACTCTTCAATGCCTTGGTAAGGCCACACTTGGAATACTGCATCCAGTTTTGGTCACCATGATGTAAAAAAAGATGTTGAGACTCTAGAAAGAGTACAGAGAAGAGCAACAAAGATGATTAGGGGACTGGAGGCTAAAACATATAAGGAACGGTTGCTGGAATTGGGTATGTCTAGTTTAACGAAGAGAATGACGAGGGGGGACATGATAGCAGTATTCCAATATCTCAGGGGCTGCCACAAAGAAGAGGGAATCAAGCTATTTTCCAAAGCGCCTGAAGGCAGGACAAGAAGCAACGGGTGGAAACTAATCAAGGAGAGAAGCAACCTAGAACTAAGGAGAAACTTCCTGACAGTCAGAACAATTAATCAGTGGAACAACCTGTCTCCAGAAGTTGTGAACGCTCCAACACTGGAAGCTTTAAAGAAGAGACTGGACGGGGAGCTTCCGGTAGGCAGCGGCGATGATGGCGGCTACCTTGTAGTCGTCCTCCTGGGACGGCGTCAGATCCGCGGAGCGCAGCGTTCACCAGCTGGCCCGCGGTTCGGAATCCCCTTCCCGGGCAAAGGGAAGGGGTAGAGACTGCAGGAGTAGAGGTAGAACCTCCGAACCCCCTCTGGATTTTTTCTTTGAGGGGGGAGACGGAGCGCTCCCTCAGAGCTCCTGCCTATCTCCGTCTCCCAGCTGTTTTTGCTTCTTCGGAAGCAAAAGGAAACGTCGCTTCCACCTCCGCGATTAAAGAGTTTCGGTGAGTTACTTTTGAAGCGGACAGGGCGGTTTAAAGGATGTTCTTTTAGAGTTTAGTATTTTACTTTTCCTTTTTAATTAATTTTGGTCTTTTTTTCCTTTGTTTCTTTTTGCTGGTACGGAGAGAGCAATTAAGATGGCGTTTTGAAAATGCTCGTTTTTTTTTCTTTTCTCTTTGTTCTTATTTCTCTGGAAGGAAATGGACTTAAATGATTGTTTTTGATTTTCTCTTTCTACTTTCCTTTTTCTTTCTTCTTGAGTGAGCTTTGGACTCCTTTTTTGATTTTTTTTTCTTTTTGGAATCTTAAGGATTACAGTATTTTTGTTTTTTTTCTTAATTATTATTTCCCTTTTCTTTTTTTTTGGAAAGAAGGAAAGAGATAATTTTGTTTTGAAAAATGGCTTCAAAGAGACAACCGCCTTCTATACTATCCAAGGTGGTTTCCTCTCCCACAACTTTAACTGTGCAACAACAACTTAAACCTGTTCCACCAGCGCAGCCCCCACCCTCCCCTCCTTTGCCAGGCCTGTCTGCACAAGAGATTAAAGACATAATGGGAAATGCTGTATCCCAAATTAGGGATGAAATGAAGCAGCTTTTTCTACAGATCAAATCTGAAAGCAAAGAGGAAATGAAGGAAATGAAGGAGTTATTAGAGGATAATAATACTATTTTGAGGCAAGATATAGTTACAGCCTTATCAGGCCTGGCCTCCATGGTGGTGAAGTTGGACTCGAGGGTGGAGGAAGTCGCAGATAAAGTTGATTTTTTTGAGGATAAATTTCAAGATATGGAAAGGAAGATGGAGATTTCACAAGAGGATATTCTTATGTCCCAGTATAGAGAAATGGAATATGCTTTGAGAATCAGAGGTCTGAAGGAGGACATGAATCAAGATTTGACAGAGATGG